CAGTGCAGACTGCAGAGAGCAAACATAAGAAACAGCCATGTTACATACTAAACTTAATTAAGCATTAAAATTGTCATATCTTCTATCACTCGCCTTTGAAAGGGTGAGAAAGCCGTCTGACTTCAACACTTCGGTGGCGTTGCGGTCCATGTAGGCCATGCAGGCCTCAGCCAGCCCATTCAGACAGTACAGACTAGCCACATCAAACACCAGACAGACGTTTCGCGTGCTCAATAAAGTGCGGAGGAACTCGCATATGGAGCCCTCTAGTGGTTGGAGGCCATAGCGGTGCGCCAGTCCCAGGAAATCTAACAGAGTCTCTTCCCTGGCTTCACTCAGGGTGGCTCTGCCCGTGTACAGATACCGCAATAACATGGAAAAAGCCTCGGCACGTGTTTCTTCCAGCCGAACCTCTGCCTGGGCCTGGGACTCTCTGAGCCCTCCATACAGCAAAGCCCTTTTTTGGAAAGACAAAGAAAAGAAAAAGGATGAAATGAAAGAAGAATTTCACCAAGGTTAGGTTACAAAGCCTATTTTAGAAACGAGAAATGATTTTACAAAATGGGTACTTCTTTGCAACATTGACACTGTTATTGTACTGAGCTGACTCAACACTGAATCTAAATTGAGCTGGATATAATGATACTACTGTCTTCTATAGCGCTGCTCATGGCTGAAATTGAAGTTGTTTCATTGTTACATTTTGTGTAGAAAGCATAAAAACTTGGAGATATCAGCATCAAATTCTTTTGAACAGTTGAACTGTTTGTAAAGTTAAATTAGACAGTGAAATATTAACCCTGTTACCTTTCTGAATTGATAATTATATCCTATCATTGTTAGTTCAGGTCCAGGGATAGTTCACCCAAAAATGAAAATTCTGTCACCATTCACTCAACCTCTTGTTGTTTCAAACCTGTAAGACTTTTGTTAAAAGCCTAAATAAAATCTGTTCAGCGTATAAAGCAATTGTGTCTCTTCAGAAAAATTTGGACTAAACCGCTCAATTCATATGGATTAGTTTTACGATCTCTTTATGACCTTTATAAAGTGTCAATGTGGTAGTTGTGTAGCTGTCAATTTAGCTGACAGAAATATCTCAGATTTCATCAAAAATATCTTAATTTGTGTTCCGAAGATGAACGAAAGTCTTTGGTTTGGAACGTCATGAGGGTGAAAAATGAATGACAGAATTTAAATTTTTGGCTGAATTAACCCTTTAAATAATATTATCAGATAACTTTTGATTTTAATAATTTACTTGTAAATGCTGATATTAACTAAGATTAATACATGCATTAGAAGTATTTTCATTTGTTAACTAATGCTAACAAATTAACCTTATTGTAAACCAAAATGTATTAGTTTAACTTCAGATGACAATGCAATTTATTAACAAATTATTGCATCAGTTTTGTCACATCATTTGTCTGAATGTTTAAAATCTTACAAAAACTTTCTAAATAAAAAAAGGCATGCGTTTCATAGAATGACACTGATTCACTATAGTATAAAATTAATTCTTTTTTTCTATCATAAATCATTTAAATCAAGAAATGCCCCAATAGACAAGCAACATCTCATGAAGAGCAACCTGAAATACTGGCAGCGGGCCGCTAGAATGACTCTGTGTGCAGGAAAGTGCTTCTCCTCCACCACGAAGGTGACATCGCTGTACTCTTCCCCAGGAACTAAAGCGCCGAGCTGCTCTGACAGGAGATGGAGGTGGTCGATCTCAGACGCAGAGCTCACCGGCCGCAGAGGATGACTGTCACTCATGACCACTGCTGGGGAACACCTTCACATCTGAATCATATAACAAACATTTGAATTTGTCAATGAAAACAGTACATGGATGTGTGCATTCATTGGATAATTCCTGCTGAATTATAAAGAAGGCCTTTATTAACCCCCTAGAGCCGTGTGGAGCACTTTTATCATGGATGCACTTTGATGGACTTCAAAAAATATACATCTATTCACTGCTATTATAAAGCTTGGAAGAACCAGGACATTCTTTAATATAACTCAGATTGTATTCGTCTGAAAGAAGAATGTCATATACACCTAGGATGACTCGAGGATGAGTAAATCATGGGCTAATTTTCATTTTTGGGTGAACTATCCCTTTAATACATTCACTTTCTCCCTGTCCTCTGTCACTTTCCATACTGTTCATCTTTTGTCAAATTAAATCTAACGCCCCGGTTTCACAGACAAAGCTTAAGCCTATAGTCCCAGACTAAAATGCATGTTTGACTTGTTTTAACTGAAAGCAACTTGCGCTGACATATCTTAAAATATGTCAGTTCCATTGTTTTGTCTCAAGATGCACATCAGTGATATTTCTTTTTCTAAGGAACATTTATAAAAGCTACTTAAATGTCCTAACTGAACCAATGCCTAATCTAAGCCCTGTCTGTGAAACCAGGCCAAAATGTGTTAGTTGGTTTGTCTTATTTTAAAACACTCTACCATGATACATATAATTACACATATAAATGCATATAAATGTAAAAGATCAAAATGTTAATATATATAGTTGAATAAATAATTCAATTTAAAACAAGTTGACACTCTTGTGGGCTTGAATAATAAAATGGCAAACCTCTGTGAGAGGAAAATTATGTTTACTTTACAATAACATCAATAATGCATAAAAGGTCTGAGGATCATTATTGTATAGTAGTTATGTAGTATAGGATATGAATATCCAGTAAAAAAAAATATGCTTATAATATGTCTCAACACCAACAAATGTTTAATATGTCACTAAATTGCAGTTTCTCGGCGGTTATAAACATAAGCGAACATTCATCGTCATTCGAATTAACAATAAAACGCAAGCATTACTCAAAGATACAATAATACATGCTAGGTTTGTGGTAAAATCAATGAAATATAGCAAGGTTACATTAGAGCAAATGCGACGTTATCGTCTATAAGCTTCTACTCACCAACACCAATACAGATTCGATTTGTCTCCGCCTAAAGCAGACCGAGAAGGCAACAAAGCTCTATTGACTCCAAATATGTACAATGTATATATCAATTAATAAGTAAAATGTGTTAAATACAAATTTGTAACGAGCTACAAATCCATTCGTTCCACAGACAAAACCCTAACCGGATGTTTTTAAGGCGCCCGTACGTTACGCGTTTGTGTCACAGCGCCTCTAGTGGACTGATGATGTATAACGTCTTTCTTCCTCCGGAGCGGTTGAGGGCTCAGAAAGCTAAAAAAAAAAAAAAAAACTCAGAAAATTCGGTCATCACTCACCCTCATGTTGTTCCAAACCTGTATGAATTATTTTTTTCTGCTGAACACAACAGAAGATATTTTTAACCATACAGTTGATTGCAGGCCTTTGCACAATAGAGAGCCTAAGTCCCTCCCCTCCGCTTCCGGCTCATGGGACCAATGGCGAGAGACAACTTTTATTCCGTCTGAACTGTGCCCTGAATTACACATATGATGTTTGTCAATTTAAAAGATAATTCTGAAAGTCAAGAAAGTCGCAGTTTGTCATGAAACAGGAGAGTAACATTTAGTTTTATGTGAAAATCGCTCAATGAACTACATCTCCCGGGAAGCGAAACAACGAGCGAGATCCGCTGCTCGTGTGTGTGCAGTCTGGTACAAAACACTCAGACATGACGGCGTAACGTTACGATTATAACGTAAGACTATAGAAAAAATTACAGACGTTAGCTTCAGTAAAGTTAGCTTCATTCATTGAGAGAAAATGTGCGCCTTTGGGGTTTGTAGTCTTTGTAGTTACGTATTTCCACAGTCTTATACCTCAACAGTTTTACATCAAACTGCGACTTTCTTGACTTTAAACTGTATATTTTAAATTGACAAACATCATATGTGTAATTCAGGGCACAATTCAAACGAGATCAAAATATTTGTTGACTATAATATTTTTTCCGGTCGACCGGAAGGGGAGGGACTTAGGCTCAATGTGGAGAAAAAAAATACTATGGAAGTCAATGGGGCCAATCAACTGTTTTCTAACTTTAAGCTAACTTAAAGGGATAGTTCTCCCAAAAATGAAAATGTTGTCATTACTTACTAACTCTAAGTTGTTCCAAACCTGTATGAATTTCTTTCTTCTGTTGAACACAAAATAAATTATTTTAAAGAATGTTGGAAAACCAGACAGTTGACGGCACCCACTGACTTTCATAGAAGGAAAAAAAACACTAAGGGTGTAATATTATACCAATTGTCTCTTGATTATACTATATAGGGAGTCATCAACTGTCTGGTTACCAACATTCAGGTTTGGAACAACTGGAGGGTGAGCAAATGATGACAATTTTTGGGTGAACTATCCCTTTAAACCAATTTTAAGAAGCTAATGTTCAGCTCAACTTCCCATTGTCCTTCCGTATTTAAATGTAGAAGGCTTTAGGACATAAAAACTGAACAGCTTTAGTGGATAGACACCAATCTAGCCTAAACAAAACTTTATTATTACAGATCCTCTAAAGGATGCATTCCGATTATACCAACTGCATTCTTTAACATAACGCAAATCTAGAAACTGGTTGGATCCTTCCCACGCAAGATTCTTCACTTTGACCAAACCCATTTTACAACCACACACACATAAGAGTTTTTAAGCTTTTGTTGAAAGCCTTGTTGAAGTCACATTTTAATGCTGATCAACTGTTTGAGCAATTGATCTTCTTAAACCCTGTTCATTCAAACCCTGTCCCAGCACGTTCAAACCTGCAAAGTCTGTTTGAGCCACATATACAAATCCTTATAAGGTACATACCAATAACATTACTGTACTTTTTTCAAAATCAACAAAAGAGTGACACAACAAAAATGCGTTCTTTGCTTTATTTTAACAAATAAATGTAGGGTTTTAGGGCTAGGACTGCATCAATTCAACAAAATATTTTATTTTAATAAAGTAGAATGTTAAGCTTAGGACTGCATAATTTCAAAAGGTGTCAAATTGCAATTATGTAGTTACATTCAGCCTAACACACTGCCGCTGTTATACATAAAGATTGTCTGTCTTCACTGAGCACAGAGATATCACTTTTTTTTTTTTATCCCAAACTGTCCTTGAATTTCATAACTAGTGTCTTCTGATCAGGTCACAGCATAACAACAGTCTTTAAGAAGTGATGGACACCATCTTGTTGGGGCTGAGAATCTCAATCCAGTAACCGTCAGGATCCTGAATAAAGGCCAGCCCCTTCATTTTACCTGCAAGACAGACATTTTTAATTCAATTTTATGCAAATAAAAAAAAAGTTATCTGGATATGCCATGCAAACAGAACAATTTGCATATATATACTGCATAAATGCTAAGAGTATGCTATAAAGAACACAGTAAACATACAAATATAAACATCCTAAATTTGTACACGAGACTAACATATTTAGAAATTAAAGTTTAGCTCAGGGGCGTTGCTAGACCCCTTTTACTGGGGCATGTGCCCCAGTATAAATCTGAAGTTTGAGTTTAACAATTTATTTTATTTGTCAGTGTATTTAATAGAAATTATATTAAAGGGTAATAGAAATTATCATGCCACACTCATTTACAGACGACCTACACCAGTTATCATACATAAATTGATCACATAGAAATCAACTCAGTTTTGAGACAGAAAGAAATTAATTTTACCCCCTTGAATTTCTGTTTATAGTGCAAATATATATATATAGCCTATATATATGTGGGCTAATCATTTTATGTTTGTGTGTAGAGTTACTACTAACAATTTTTGGATGAGTTAAAATAGTTTTGAATGTTGAGAATACACATTAACATTTTGTAGTATGGATCATTCATTGCAACATTTATCCTCATTCTCATGTTTAAGAATCTGTTATCTGCTTGACAAATCATTTGTGCTACTGCTGCCCACTAACATGCTTTTAAAGCTATTGTTATCCAATTTGTTGGCCTTCAAACACCTTAAAATGCACATATGTACCGGTAGGTCCGAAAAGAACAAAATTTCCCCTGAATTTCGCCCCTGCCTGCAGCACTGTAGCACAGAAAATACACATTGTTGTGTTCTGTACTACTGTCTTTGATTGTGTGTGATAACAATGACTCTTTCGGATATGAAATTTATATTTAATTGACCTATCGGTAAACCTCCTTAGTTACTGTTGCTATCTCAGACAAACAATGGGGGACCCGTTTATGTCTAGCAACGCCCCTGGTTTAGCTACTTTGTTATTGGTGGAGAAACACTATGTAACTAAAATAACTGTATAGGATCATATGAAAGAACTTACCATCATCTGGCTTTTTTACAAAGGTCACTCCATTCTCTTCAAACAGCTTGCAGGCAGCATAGACATCCGGGACAGCAATTCCAATATGGCCTAAGATACATATATTTTAAATTTATTTTTAGGTTAATGATGTAATTTATCTTCTTTTATCCATGACTACATTTGCCATTGGGCTGTCCAATCGATTAATCGCATCTAACATAAGTTTATGCTTATATAATTTATGTGTGTACATATATATATATATATATATATATATATATATATATATACACTCACCGGCCACTTTATTAGGTACACCTGTCCAACTGCTCGTTAACACTTAATTTCTAAGCAGCCAATCACATGGCGGCAACTCAGTGCATTTAGGCATGTAGACATGGTCAAGACAATCTCCTGCAGTTCAAACCGAGCATCAGTATGGGGAAGAAAGTTGATTTGAGTGACTTTGAACGTGGCATGATTGTTGGTGCCAGAAGGGCTGGTCTGAGTATTTCAGAAACTGCTAATCTACTGGGATTTTCACGCACAACCATCTCTAGGATTTACAGAGAATGGTCCGAAAAAGAAAAAACATCCAGTGAGCGGCAGTTCTGTGGGCGGAAATGCCTTGTTGATGCCAGAGGTCAGAGGAGAATGGCCAGACTGGTTCGAGCTGATAGAAGGGCAACAGTGACTGAAATAACCACTCGTTACAACCAAGGTATGCAGCAAAGCATTTGTGAAGCCACAACACGCACAACCTTGAGGCGGATGGGCTACAACAGCAGAAGACTCCACCGGGTACCACTCATCTCCACTACAAATAGGAAAAAGAGGCTACAATTTGCAAGAGCTCACCAAAATTGAACAGTTGAAGACTGGAAAAATGTTGCCTGGTCTGATGAGTCTCGATTTCTGTTGAGACATTCAGATGTTAGAGTCAGAATTTGGCGTAAACAGAATGAGAACATGGAACCATCATGCCTTGTTACCACTGTGCAGGCTGGTGGTGGTGGTGTAATGGTGTGGGGGATGTTTTCCTGGCACACTTTAGGCCCCTTAGTGCCAATTGGGCATCGTTTAAATGCCACAGCCTACCTGAGCATTGTTTCTGACCATGTCCATCCCTTTATGGCCACCATGTACCCATCCTCTGATGGCTACTTCCACCATGTCACAAAGCTCTAATCATTTCAAATTGGTTTCTTGAACATGACAATGAGTTCACTGTACTAAAATGGCCTCCACAGTCACCAGATCTCAACCCAATAGAGCATCTTTGGGATGTGGTGGAACGGGAGATTCGCATCATGGATGTGCAGCCGACAAATCTGCGGCAACTGTGTGATGCCATCATGTCAATATGGACCAAACTCCCTGAGGAATGCTTCCAGCACCTTGTTGAATCTATGCCACGAAGAATTGAGGCAGTTCTGAAGGCAAAAGGGGGTCCAACCCGTTACTAGCATGGGGTACCTAATAAAGTGGCCGGTGAGTGTATATACTGCTGTGGTCAGAATGAATGGCACCCCTGTTAAATATGATAAAAAATGACTGTAAAAAATAAATCTGCATTGTTTATCCTTTTGAAAAATGAGCAAAAATCTAACCTTTATAACCTATATATATATATATATGTATATATAGTCCAGCCCGACTTCAATCACAGTCAATACAATGACAGGGAGAAATTGTGTTTTGCATGTTATATTCACCAAAGCCTCTTGGGTCTGAGTTCCCGTTGTGGTAAGATATGCTGTCATCGGTCTCTGAACCCCAGTTACTGATAAAAAGAGAAATACAGAATGGCACATGAAAACAGCTTCACACCTTGGACTGCTGATGACAGGCTCTACGGTCGGTAACCTTATGGCACACAGAGGGATAATCACAGAAGCGCGCACCTCGGCCCCGCGAATGGTTTGTCGGATGTGTGTGCTGGCGCAGGTTAAAATCTCGCACTTTCATAGTATGCACATTAACTTAATAAAACTGGCTGTGTGACTATAAGGAATAAGTACCTAAAATTGTACATCCGTATGTTTCAGGGACTCCTCGTTAGCTAATGTCCCGTGCCAGTGATTGTCCCTCCGCGTGGCAAAGGTCACGAACCCTGCTCTACAATGACATTTTTCAGGTATTATGCCACATATTGTAAAGGCCTATTCACACTGCACCGACAGACACAAGCCGCGTTTCCATTACAGATTTGCGCAAAACTTTTGCGATTTTTTCTAAATATCGATAAAAAACTATTGCGAAATGACGGCGTTTCCATTAACCTATGTTATGCGACTAAAACGTCATTTTTTCCTCTCGCGATAAGTCATTCCAAAAATCATGGAAACGGGCGTTGGTAGGTTTATAGTCTATATCACATGTGAAGGAGACGTGGTGTGTTATCCAAGCATTAATGGTAAGGAAAGACCCTAATATACTGTGAACGGCACATGAGGTGTTTCTCCCTCATTTCTGCTCCAAGGTCTTGATTGTGGCATTTCTTTGAGGTTTAGAATCCAGTATTACTGCAATTATTTTTTCTTTTATGAATTTAATAAAGAACTCTTGTCTCGTATTCTGTCCAAACGGTCCGTGTACTTTTGCGTCCATTTGTTTTTCCTTTTTTAACCCGGCTAATTGAAAAACGAAAAATGAACGGTTGTTGTATTTTTAAAGCGCAAAGTTAAACAACAAATTTTGAATTTGAACTGTTGCCTACTACACACCAAATGCTGCGCAAAAAAATAAATATAGACGAATTTTCAGATTTTTGTTTATGACTTTTTGACCCTTTATTAAACATTTAAAATATTCACAAATTAATATGAAAAAAATGGGTTCCAAATTAGAACCCGATGATATTTTTCCCGCAGTGCTGAATAAGAAGAGCCATGTCTCTGGAACCATAGCCTACAGAGATGTGATTTATAGGTGATTATAGGCTAATGATAATAAATGTGTCTGAAAAAATAACGAGGCATTTTAATTGTTTATTAATAAACTAGTGTTAGTGCCGACTGCAAACATATCTTCATCTCCGCTGTAAAGCGGATGCGCCTTTAGAGAAATGCACCTTTCATATGGATTACATAATCAGAAGGTATTTGCTTTCGATTTGAATTTGTTCGTTTAAAAGTGGACATTTCAAACTTTAGCCTACATAGGCTATATTTTGTTTCAGTTCATTTCTGAGACATGTTCCAGTTCACGGAGATCATGAAAGCGCGCCTGATTGTTTTCTTTTATTTTACAAAAGAAGAACGTTTTCTTGTTATTGTGAGTTTACACAAATAAAAGTAGTTGCGGATTATGTATTATTATTTTCTGTATGACCATAAATAATAGAGTATTTTAAGTTGTTTCCACTGTTGACAGGAAAATGCAAGTGTTCGCGCCCGCGCCTCCGTCATGCAGTGCGCGCTCAACACTCCGCACAAACCCTTGGATATGCGTCAAAATCTTGTGTTTATTTGTGATAATCTTAGCCCTGTATTATTATTGTCTAACCTGTATTATGAATGACATTTGACGAATTGCTTTGTTCCTTTTTTGGATAAAAGCGTCTTCTAAATATGTAGCCTAATAAATGTAATATAATAATAATTATTATTATCATTTGCGTTTATAACTATAAATGAGTTCACTTAAGACAGTAATATGTATATTATAAATTGATGAATTGAAAATGACTTTGTGTTATTTCTTTTTTTGTATGAGAAGTCTTTTTTTTGCTATTCTATTATAGCCTACTGAGCTTTTTTCTCACCCCCAAAAAAGGACTTTAAAGATGTACCGGGCTAAATGTCGTTTTTTAGAAAATTCAAGAAATTACAAAGAACTGATATTTACAAATCTGAGAGCGCGGATTAGGATATCGTGGGTAGGCCTACAGTTATTTAATCCGTGGGCACGATTTGTTAAACCGATCGAGGGAACAGTTAAGTTTGTATGTGAATATTTTTTCACCAGTCTAAAAACTAATAAAGAAGAAAGCATGTTTTTTCGTTTTTCATATGAGTTAAAGGAAAAACGAATGGACGCAATAGCCTACACGGACCCCAAACACACGCGCCTTCTCTAAGTCAGGTGACTGTAATTGCGCAAAAACTGTTTCCATTGCAGTTTTGCGAAATATTCCTTTTTCGAATTGCCTGAAAAACCACCTCATGCGAGCGTAAAAACTTTTTTGCGATAAATGGGAGTTTTTGCGAAATTGACGTGTTTCCATTGAGCGTATTTTTAATTCGCAATTTCAATTTGCGCAATTTGAAGGGTAATGGAAACGCGGCTACAGACAGACGGCAACTGAAACCTGGTTTCGGATCAGTGTGTAAGCGAGCGTCCATGTAAACTCTCTTTTTCGCAGATTAAACAATGTTGAATCGGCGTTTGCCCGTCTTGGAATGTCTGACAAGTGACGTACTGTAATCTGGTGACTGTTGGTGCAGTGTGAATTTGCCTTAACAGAACCTGCCTGATATCACGGTAAGGATGGTAACAGGCTTTTCTACTCAATGCAGAAGGTTAGTGGTAAACCTGTATGGACTTTTAAATGGCTGATGCTTAAGGATTTAATCTGAATTTACTGTGTGAACTCTATAGTGGCTCTGCGGGAGAACGTCCAGGCTGTCCTCTCCTTCACATCTGCAGGGACCTCTTTCTTATCCTCATAACCCAGAAAGTAGAGGGTGAATCGCATGGAGGGAAAATCAAACTTCTGTAACAGCCTATAATAAAACATTCGCATTAAAAAATACTTCATTGCAAAGGTCAGCAATTAAAGCCCATTCACATTATTGCAATGCAATTTTAATATGCAATATTGATTATGAGCCAAATCTGAACTAAAATGTAAAACATTTCTACATGCATAACACATTTGGATATTATAAAGTAATGGCCTGGTTTCACAGACCAGGTGTAGATTAAGCCAGGATTAACCCTGGATATTTAAAAAGCTTTTATAAACGTGTCTTAGATAAAAGACAAAACATGTCTTGAGACAAAACAAAGGCACATATTTTAAGATATATCAGTGCAAGTGGCTTTCAGTTAAAACAACTTAAACATGCACAAGACTAGCTTAAGCCTTGTCTATGAAACAAATGAAAACTAAAGTAAATCAGGTCAAGACTGAACTCACATTCACAGAGAAAAAGTTCAGTGCAGAGAGATGCAATCTTTTACACTAGTAAACTCACGTCATTCCCAGGATGCGCGTGTAGAAATCCAGGGATTTAACTGGATCCTTAACCCTCAGCATTGTCTGCTGCATCATGAAGTCCTACAGCAGTGGCATGAATAACTTTTGGTCAGAAGAACATCATTTACAAGATGGATCAGGTGATGAAAATGATCAACAGTGGCAACCAAAAGTCTAAGACCATTTAGGAGGGAAAAACATTTTTATTAGTGGTCTCACATTTGAGTAACACTGTATCAATAATAAAATAAAATCAAATATTATTATTAACCATTTATGTCACGCATTACATTATCAAGCATGGACCCTTTTCACAGATTGTGAAGAGGCGTTTTAACGGTCATCACCATCATAAATCCTGCAAAGTTTTATATATATTTTTTATAAATGTAAATTTATAACACTATACTTTGTATTACACTTCCTTTGCATCAAATTACAAAAGAAAAACCTAGTTAACGCAGCTGTGAGGATGTTTCTAATACAGCGGCTTTGGAAGTGACGATGAATTTGATATCTTTCTCTCTTCCGACTGCCATTATCAATCTCTCTCTGTATATTTTCCCTCTTTTTGAAAGTTTAGAAAACACTATTATTGCGTTTTTCTTTTGCTATTTGAGAAAATGTGAACACAAAAAACATATGTAATGTAGTCTCTCATTCACCGCTATAGAAGTTTACCCAACTATGACGACTTCCGCTTCTGAGAAACCCGTAAATGTGGAAAAAGGGTCGGTTCAAATTATTCAGCAGTGATTTTGGATTTGAAAATAATCAGTTGATGCAGTTTCAGGCTGTGCATGATGCTTTTAGAAATCCATATCTGGTCATTCTGTAATATCTTGCAGCTCAGCTCAAAAACAGAAGGGTAGTTTATCGTTTTGCAAATGCATCAAACATCAGTCTAGGAATCTCTGGTAAATGTTTGCACAGTGGATGTGCTGTTATGAATTATTATTCATCTCTCTGGTATAGGTGTTATTTTATAGCATCTCTTTGGTTAAGATTGTTTATGACATGACTTTTCAAAGAATGGACACAAAGTGTTACAATATAATTCCCTGATATTCCCTAAAGTTTGTGTCCTTATGGTAAAATCTGTCTGCTTGCACTGCTCTGTATGACACTCTAGGGGCCACAGGTCAACACTTAATCTGTGTAAAATGTCAAAGGTCATCATAGTAACTTTAAGTTAATTAAAATAGGCTTGATTCTGAATGTAATGCAGATTGATATGTTACTAACATATCAATCTGCATTCCATACAGATTCAAGTCTATTTTTAAATTGCATTTCCACATTGACTGAGCAATAACGCAGTTACGCGTACAAACTTAATCAAAGTTAGTTGAATAACAAACAAAGAGCCGGATAAATAACTAATTCCTGTTTTCCTGCAGTGGTTTGAGTTATACAGGAGAACAGGGAAATGAGCGAGGAGCTTCGTGTTTGATTGAAAGGTCTCAAGTTCTGGACTCGAAAGCAGCGTCTTACTTTAGTGATGGGGTTTCCGTCTTTACACGCAGCGGCGGCTGCTTCGTTCGTCAGCCCGGTCAGCCCTTGGTCAGTCATTTTTTTTAGGTGTGCTTCGGCTTGATGTTCGGTGATTACAGCTGACAGTCCGGCGGAAAGATCCCACGCAGGGGGCGTGGCCATAGCGTGCAACGTCGACGGTGTGACGTAACTGTGGGAGGAGCCATGAAATAACTGAGATGCTGTAGTTTCCCTTTCCTTCCTGCAGAAGGAGACGCAATTCTCAATAAAAGTGTTTACATAAATGTATTGAAATCATGCATGTGTTGTCAAGACAAATTGAGTGTTCTCTTTCCATCAACTTAATAAATTATAAGTATAGGAGGAAAAATTACAGAAAGAAAATGGTTAATGAACTAAGAGGAACATGCAGAGCTATGAATGAATGTGATGGAGACTGTAGCGTTTACACACATCCTGTAAGATGACACAAGTATACCATCCTGTGTAACTTCTGAGTGAACTTATAGTTACTTTGAGCTCTGTGTGGAAACTAAAAATGTGTATATTCCAGAAATCGGACTCATTGACACAGGTAAAAGGCATACACACTGTATAAGGCCTGTGTGTGTGTGTGTGTGTGTGTGTGTGTGTGTGTGATAGAGAGAGTGATAAGAATACAGATACTATGCTACTCAATGCTTAATTTTAGTATGTAAATACAGCAACACACTTGCTTAACTTTAAAAAGTGCATCTATCTTCCATTTACTCTTGATGAAATTAAACTTCCATTGCAATAAATGGGCTTAAATGGCATTGAATGGCTTAACAAAGATGACGAGGTAGCAATTAAATCAATAAAAATGCAAATGGCAATTATATTAGAACATTTGGAAACTGATGAGTTTATGCGATTATATCACACACAGCGTGACCAATCTTTTAGATTGCCGTCATAACAAGGATTAATACTGTTTAATAACTGATAATTAAAAAAAAGTATATAATGAAAAGGAGATGGAGCTCAGGTAGATTAGGGGGTAGGGCAGCTTTTTATTTTTATTTTGAATTTAACAGTTTAAATCTTAAAATATTATTGCTGACTATTTGTAGCCTACATCGCTCAATGCAAACTATTTACAGCGTGCTTCACAATAAAATCTAAGAATACAATTTTTTGACTGACCGGCACAAAATGGGACTACTTGTAGAGATGAACCTTGTCTTGCAGTGATTATACATTTTGAGTGTTTTGTACATGCACGTTTACACAATCTTATGTGAAAACGCACACTTTTATTTTTCGTGAAATGTGAGATTGAAAGGAGTTTGCAGGCCATATCTAAAAGCAACTTTGTTATTGGGGAAAATAATGTGAGAAAACAGAACAAGATGCAAGTTTTGATTCATAGTGCTGTTAGGGGGGTAACAGTTATAAGACCCAAGACCAGATATGATGAAAGAAGACCAGGAGTCGTGAAGTTCAAGCAAAAAGAAAAAAATTTACTGAAGAATAGTTTGCAGTTTCATCGGTAGAGCGAGCGTCAAAGTCTCACGAGGAGGTCGCAAGCCAACTCATACCTTACACAAAATCATACACCAATTATACCATTCTACAAGGGCATACATTACATCATTGTAAATCTGATTGGATAAGAGAACATAAAAGCCTAAACAATTCCACACATGTGAGCAGATATAGGTGCCAATCGCCATTAGTCAAGATAGTTGTCGTCCGGTGACAAAGGGCGCCTGTAATTAATATATTTGATAATTGATTTTCATAAAGGAAGTATATAAGCATTCAAAAGGATATATGATTATAGATGTATTTGAAGAGACAAGGGATTTTGACCAACCCTTCAGTGCATATGTAGCTATAACTTTATTTTAGAAAATTATTAACATGATTTACTGTGTCTTTAGTATGCAAGCAATTAAGAAAAACTGTAATAAAAAAATAAACCATGCTCTTCATTGGCATCGTGCAGGTACAAAATCTTCAATAAGAAGGGCATAGCTGAAAACAAATAAGAATAAACAGTAGGCTAAATCATAAATTCATGTGACATGCATGAATGTACATCACATCAACTTTTGTCTGAATGCAGTTTACGATGCATATTGAAGGTGTATTTATAAGGGAAAGTCTTTCCACAGTCTGGACAGGAGAAAGGCCTCTCTCCCGTGTGAATCCGCATGTGTTTCTGCAGCGTCGTTCTGCGTGAGAATCCGATTCCACACAAGTGGCAACAGAACTGTTTTCCAGAATGAGAATCGCTGTGGTGGCGATTAAGATTGGTTTGACTGAAGAACGTCTTGTCGCAGTGCGCGCAGGCGAACGGCCTCTCGCCTCTGTGTTTGTATAAATGACTTTGGAGTGCGGTGGAGCAGGTGAACTTCTTCTCACACTGATCGCAACTGAAGCTCTTCACGATCTTTCGTTTTTTACCCGTGTGGATGGTGTTGTGCATTTTAAGCCATTCTGCACACCGAAACCCTCTCCCACAGAGTTCACAGGTGTACGGCGCTTCTCCCGTGTGTATTCGCATGTGACGCGCCAGCTTAAAGCTCCGCTGATACTCCTTGCCACACAGCTTACAGCTGAATTTTTTACCAGGGGTCTCTGATGAACTCTCCCGTTTAGTATTAGACTCGTCCTTTTTGTTCACAGTCTTCATATCGATGCAGTCGGGACACCAAGAGAAACAGCAGCTACTGGAGAAACAGATTGAGAAATAAAACACTCATAATTATCCCTAAGTTGTATATAGGCTATCTCAAAGTTGCTAGAAAGAATATAGTATTGTGTGTGCATGTAGAGTGAGGGAATTGAACTATTCTAAAAAGCATCAGTTGGTTAAAAGGCATTGCAGAAAGCTAGTTCTGAAAACAACTTTACACTTTCTTTGATTTTGCATCTAATCGAATAGCATTTCGAAGAGTAACTTTTTTTTAAAAAGTGTTACAAAAATGGTAACTGTTACACAGCGTCCTTGTTACACGTTGTTACTGTAGTAATGAAAACCTCCTCAGGTTCCAAGTTTGGTAACCACTAGTGCATGTTTACAAAGGAAACGCAAGTAGGGTAAGTGTGTAACGGTCCGTTGCAGCTTTCATAGGCGTAATCCTATGGGGGGACAGGGGGACACGTCCCCCCCAATATTCAACGAAGGGCAATTTGTCCCCCCCAATATTTGATCATATTTGGGGCGCGTTTCCATTACAGATTTGCGCAAAACTTTTGCGATATTTTCTAAATGTCGATAAAAAACTATTGCGAAATGACGGCGTTCCATTAACCGATGTTATGCGACTAAAACGTCTTTTTTTCCTCTCGCGATCAGTCATTCCAAAAATCATGGCAACGGACGTTGGTAGGTTTATAGCCTATATCACAGCCACCGCATAGACATTATTATTATTAATGGAAGGAGACGTGGCGTGTTATCCAAGCGTTAATGGCAGGGAAAGACACGGAGTTCCTGGGTGTTTCTCCCTCATTTCTGCTCCGATGTCTTGATTGTGGCATTTCTTTGAGGTTTAGACACTGATCAATATAGAATGACTTTATTAATGTCATTCAGTGGGTTTAGAGTCCAGTAGACTACTCCTGTAATTATTGTTTATTTTATGAATTCAATAAAGAACTCTGTCTCGTATTATGTCCAAACGGTCAGTGTACTTGCATTCATTTTTCTTATTTAACCCGTAATTGCAAAACGAAAAATGAACGGTTGTTGTATTTTTAAAACGCAAAGGTGAACACCAACATTTTAGTTTGACCTGTAGACCTACACCAAATGCTGCACAAAAAAATAAAAAAATAAAAAAATAATATATATATATATATATATATATATATATGAGAGAGAGAGAGAGAGAGAGAGAGAGAGAGAGAGAGAGAGAGAGAGAGAGAGAGAGAGAGAGAGAGAGAGAGAGAGAGAGAGAGAGAGACGAATTTTCAGATATTTGTTTATGACTTTTTGCCCCTTTATTAAACATTTAAAATATTCACAAATTAATATGGAGAAAAAAATGTAGATTTTACTGGTTTTCTAAGGCCAAATTAGAACCTGGAAATTATATTTTTACCGCAGTGCTGAATGAGAAGAGCCATAACCACAGCCTACAGAAAGGGGATGTATAGTTGAGTTAGGCTATAATAAATGTGTCTGAAAAAATAACGAGGCATTTTAATTGTTTATTAATAAACTATTGTTTTCCTAAATCAGTGTCGGCTAAAAACATATCTCCATCTCCAGATGCACCTTTAGAGAGAAATGCACCTTTCATACGGATTACATAATCAGAAGGTATTAGCTTTCGATTCGAATTTGTTCCTTTTAAAGTGGACATTTAAAGCTTCAGTCTACAAAGGCTAGCCTATCAGTTCTCGCGCTTCAGTTCACGGAGATCATGAAAGCGCGCCTGATTGTTTTAGCCTATTTTATTTTACAAAAGCACATCGTTTTCTTGTTATTGTGAGATTACGCAAATAAAAGTAGTTGCGAATAATGTATTATTATATTCTGTATGACCAGAAATGATAGAGTATTTTAAGTTGTTTCGACTGTTGATAGGAAAATGCAAGTGTTCGCGGCCGCGCCTCCCTGCCATCCAGTGCGCGCTCCACACCCAGTCCGCACACACACTTATGCGTCAAAATCTTGTGTTTATTTGTGATAATCTTAGCCCTATTATTATTGTCCAACCTGTATTATGAATGAAATGTGACGAATTGCTTTGTTCCTTTTTTGGATAAAAGCGTCTTCTACATATAATAAATAAATGTTATAATAATGATGATAATTATTATTATTATTTGCGGACACGGACCCAAAACACACCGCGTATTCTAAGTCAGGTGACTGTAAATGCGCAAAACCCGTTTCCATTGCAGTTTTGCGAAATATTCCTTTTTCAAATTGCCTGAAAAGCCTCCTCATGCAAGCGTAAAAACTTTATTGGGATAAACGGGAGTTTTTGCGAAATGGACGTGTTCAAACACGTCCATTTCGCAAAAACTCCCGTTTATCCCAATAAAGTTTTTACGTAGCCTAATGAAAATGCGCACAATGGAATCCATTGTGCGCATTTTCATTAGGCTACGCAATTTCAATTGGCGCAATTTGAAGAGTAGCCTAATGGAAACGCGGCTTGTATGATTATGCGGGCAGGGCCAGATGTGATTGCAAATAGTCTTTCTTCCCAGCTCCGAAAATATAAAATCCCGGCCGGTCCATTTCCCAAATCCATTCGGACTTCCTTACACTATACATTTAGCAAAACCTATTTCTCCTGAAATCCATGTCATGTTTTCCTATCCCTAGTGCATCGTCAGTGAGTTAGGAAAAACCAAACAGAAAAAGAGTTAGGAGGAGCGCGGAAATTGACAGACATTTGGCACATAGGCTATCTATGAATGGTAAATATCCTGTTATCCTGTAACCGTAATTTAATCAAAATGTTTATAGCCACTATATGTTTATAGAAGAATATAAGAGAGAGAGATCACTGACCGCTTTGTTGTCAATTCAGGCCTGTAATTGATGCCGATGCTGTAATCATTGTGAGTAGGCTATACGTTGGTTTGACGATCAGATGTAATAAAATTCCTTGTTGTGTTATACAATTACAAACATTCGGACTCTGACTTTTATTTTATTTTGATTAAAAAAATGTGTGCATGCGCCAACACAAAAAGTTCCACAGCTGTCCCCCCCAATGTGTGATTGACAATTTCGCCCTTGGCAGCTTTTATAACCTCATATTATTATCATCTAAAAAACAACCTAGAATTGTCGTTCCAAGTTAATACATTTGTCAAACCACGTAACTATTTAAATGCGACCCCCATCTATAAAGACGATTTAAATCTTTCAATATAGTTTCTTTCAGGGCTGGGTATTGACAGACGGCTACTGCAATCTGTCATCCGCAAGACGCTTGAATTTCGTGATAAAAGTGACAAAATATGAAAGCTGACATTTTGTTTCATATCAGTAGCAAAGCTTATTTCGATTATTGGATGATGGCAGGCTTGTTTATAATGTTTGAAGTCTGCTCACGAAACAACGAGAAACTTCATTGACTAAATCGATATTGTCCACCCAGCCCTATTTTCCACTACACACGTATTCAGATTTGAACTTAAATGACTATATTTTAACAAAAGTTTAATCTGAAAATCACTGGGCAATTATCTTAAATCTTAAAATGATCTAAATCATAAAGCACTTACTTGCAATGTTCTTGTTCAAAGGCACATGCTCGGAGTCTGAACCAGAAATGAGCAACTCCAACTTCATTCTCGTCTATGTTCATTCTTCACTTCTCGGTTGGGTAGCAGAACCAAAGACAGTCAGTGCTGCCCCCGCCTGTCGTCAAAAGATGCTGAATGTATTGTAAATTGAGTAAAATGTAACTTTGGGATAAGACATCATTTTATAAATAAACTGTTTTAACAGAGAACAGATTATGATGGAAATTGATCATATTCATTCATAGCAGTGCTTATACAGTAGTAAAAAAGTCTTAGGCACGTTAGTATTTTTACCATAAAAATATCTGTAAATATGTATATCTTTAGCTGTAATGTGTCAGTAGGAAATATCAGTTTACATTTTCAAACATTAATTTTGCCATTAATTGTAATAATACAGTGAGATTTTGTGACGGTGTCAGACTCCTTGTGCATAAAAAGATATCACTGGAGTATTAAAGATATACACTACAGCAAAAGGTATAAATAATTGGCTTAAAAACATTTTTTTGGTGAAAATACAAACATGCCTAAGGCTTTTGCACAGTATTGTATGCATAACTTGTAAGTAAAATACTTTTTTTAAATAACTTGTAAATACAATACTTTATGCAAAAGTAAGCAATGTAGAAAAACTAAAAAGGAAATCATGTGAAGTCAAACTCTTTATTGGCACTGGACAGGTATAATGAGATTCAGTAAGGAAAAAAAATACCAATAAAAGGGATGTGGCTTAAAACAATAGAAAAATAGAATAAATCAAACTCATGTGATGCATGAATGTGCATTACGTCAACTTTTGGCTGAGTGACGTTTACGATGCATATTCATGGTATATTCATGACGGAAAGTCTTTCCACAGTCTGGACAGGAGAAAGGCATCTCTCCCGTGTGAATCCGCATGTGTTTCTGCAGCGAAAAAAGGCGTGAGAATCCACTTCCACATACGGGGCAACAAAATTGTTTGCTGTCAGAATGAGAATCGACCTGGTGGCGTTTAAGATTGGTTTGACTGAAGAACGTCTTGTCGCAGTGCGCGCAGGCGAACGGCCTCTCGCCTCTGTGTTTGTATAAATGACTTTGGAGTGCGGTGGAGCCAGTAAACTTCTTCCCACACTGATCGCAACTAAAGCTCTTCATGCTTTTTCGTTTGTTACCCGTGTGGACGCTGCTGTGCAGTACAAGCCAGTCTTTACGTCGGAAGCCCCTCCCACAGAGTTCACAGGTGTACGGCGCTTCTCCTGTGTGTATTCGCATGTGACGCACCAGGCTTATGCTCTGGCGATACTCCATGCCACACAATATACAGCTGAATTTTTTACCACAAGTTTTTTTGCCATTTGAAAAGTGGGAGATGGACGTTTCAGCTTCTGTTTCAGTATCTGAAGGACTTCCGTCGGGCACCTGAATACTTCTCACTGTATATTTCAGCCGTTGGCAATAGAGCACAGGTGATCCTTCTATTTTGCTCAGCACCAAAGTTTCCATACTCTCCTTAGACGACTCGGCCCTCGAAACTCCAAGAAAATTCTCAGAAGGCTTCATTTCGATGCAGTCAGGACTCCAGCCATCAACTAGGGAAACAGATTGAATAGAGATGTAAACATTCAGATTTATTCTCCAACTGTACTCATTAAACCCAAATTCCCCATAAATGAATTATACAATAACCTCATAAGTTATTTGGACAATTACCCTACACTTCAAATATGAAGGTTGTTGCATTAGAAGAAACGTAGTCTTCAATGAGAATAAAAGGAATTGAGCATATGTGTAAGTATATAAGGAAGTTATTATGCACTAACAAGATAACAACAGGAAAGAGTCAACAGATGGAAGTCAGTGAACCAATGACAGAACTTGTTTTCAAGATGCAAGATTATAAATGTTGTGTCTGTATGTCCAGCAAGGGAGTTTTCGGCTAAAAGAACTACAGACTACTTTAAGTAAACTGAGGAAAGGAAAACTTTGTTGTGCATGAGTCTTCATTTTATATACATTTAATTAACACACACACACACACATATAATGTTAGGTTCACTTACCATATTATATGGGGACAGTCCATAGACATAACCTAACGTTACCTACCTGTCACAGAAAACTTTCTGCATTTTAACATTTTCAAATAACACAATTTCGTATGATTTTTAAAGCTGTTTTCCTCATGGGGACAAACAAATGTTAACGGTAAGACTTTCCTTGCGAGGACATTTGGTCATAAAATAGGGAGAGACCCTAAATGTTTGTCGTTATTTGTCATCTCACCAAATTTAGACTCAGTCAGAAACCTACCGTTAAACAATTTTAAATCTTAATAACAAAGCACTTACTTGCAAACCGGCAATATTTATTTTAGTTCCAATGAATATAAACAATAACATTCTTTGGTCCATTTACAACTTTCTCGAGCATGCTCTCTTCTTCTTTATTGCACGGTTGGACAGCATGACTAGAGTTACACAGCACTGCCCCCTTCTGCTTTCAGGAGGAACATCATATTAATTTGCCAGGGACCTTGGCTTGAAAGGTCCATCTATTTTGTTGCTCTTGCTATTTGTAACTCTTTAGGGTTTACAGCGCCATTGATCACTATATGTTGAAATGAGACAATGAATTATTAGTAAAAGTTAATGTCAGCTCATGTTTGTTCTGTGTAGATTTATTGGCGATGCTGTGACTCGACCTTAAAGGGGAAGATATTGCAGGAGTTGTTAGGAATGTGACCGGCATGTGACCATGCCAAAGGAACAGTCTCAAAAGCGAACCAGATAAGAAGTGATCCCGATAGCTGCTTATGAATGAGAACTTAATGTGTCATGTATATCGTCTTTAAATAACCACATTTGCATAAACTTCACATGTTCGGACTGGAATTACCTGTACTGTTAACCAAGCAGAACCTTTAGAAAATGACATCAACTGATCTGTCATATAGGGCTACATATATTGGTTTTTCTGTGTTCTAAGACGGTTCGAGGCTGGATTCTCATTTTCTACGGCCTTTGGAAGGGTGGAGAACTCTGTCTTCAGTGAGCTTTGTCAACTTGAACTTAAAATTTGACTCCTGGTCTCCATTGAAGATTTTGGTCTCTCTTTATGTGGTCAAACTGTGTTCCCCAACACTAACAGTAGACGACTCTGTGTAAATCCTTTGGTGTTCTTGTTCTGCAAAAACAGAAAAAAAGTGGGAGATTTTTAAGACCATCAGTATAAATATTAATAAAGTCATTGAAAGTAATTAACGTAAATTAAATTGAATGAATATATGCAATAAAATGAGGTTGTGGTGGCTTTATAACGGTCACATAGGCTACTGTTATTACCACGTAATGACGAGCAGAATGTTCATTTGAGTATTTTCCCCACTCATCCTCCTGTATGTGGAGTGGTTGCGTTCATTTCATTAAACATGGCCGGGGAATACGCTAATTCCCTTTTCCATCCCGTGTTTTCTTTTTTCTCTCATGGGCAACTCCCAAACATTCCACTTTACAAAAGTGTCCATCTCAAATTCAACCCCTGTGACTCCCTGAGTAAATTTACTGCTTCCTCACATTCCTGCCGTGATTTACAAAGCAGATGCAGAGAGTTTATCGCGTTGCTCAATAAATATGGTTTTATAAATATATTGAAATTATGTATATGGTCAAGAGAAATAAAGGGTTATCTGCATCAACTAAATAAGGTAAATTATAAGAAGTGTAGGAGGAAAGTGTATTTAGAAGTTACTGAAGGCTAAATTTCAGGATTAAAAATGCAGAAACACAAATGCTTAAATTTAAAAAGAACATTTACTCTCCATTAACTTGATGAAATCAACATAGATAATAAATTATTTGACTTGTAGAGATTAACCTTCTCACACACTGATTATACATTTCGAGTGGTTTATACATTCATGCTTGAATTGCTACATTGCTTTTCTTGAAATGTGATGAGATGAGACTGGAAGGAGTTTACAGACCTTATCTAAAGAATACTTTTTGGGGGGAAATAACATGACAACACAAGACATCAAATGTTGTAAAGCTGCATGTCCTGGAAACATTTTTTGATTCATAGTGCTTACATATAACTTTGTTCAAACATTTTTTTACATGATTTATTATATATAAGCAACTGAGAAAAACTGTAATAAAATGTAAATGCTCTTTATTGGCATTGTGCAGGAAATCATAAATTAAATCATAATTATCATAAATTCATGTGATAGCCTATACATGATTGTGCATCACATCAACTTTTGTCTGAATGCAGTTTACGATGCATATTCAAGGAATATTGATAACGTAAAGTCTTTCCACAGTCTGGACAGGAGAAAGGCCTCTCTCCCGTGTGAATCCGCATGTGTTTCAGCAGCGTCGAGCGGCGTGAGAATCCACTTCCACACAAGTGGCAACAGAACTGTTTTCCAGAATGAGAATCGCTGTGGTGGCGATTAAGATCAGTCTGACTGAAGAACGTCTTGTCGCAGTGCGCGCAGGCGAACGGCCTCTCGCCTCTGTGTTTGTATAAATGACTTTGGAGTGCGGTGGAGCAGGTGAACTTCTTCTCACACTGATCGCAACTGAAGCTCTTCACGCGCTTACGTTTGTTTCCCGTATGGATGGTGAGGTGTAATTTAAGCCAGTCTGAACGACGGAAACCCTTCCCACAGAGTTCACAGGTGTACGGCGCTTCTCCCGTGTGTATTCGCATGTGACGCACCAGGTTTAAGCTCCGCTGATACTCCATGCCACACAATTTACAGCTGAATTTATTACCACAAGTCTTTTTGCGATTCGAGGGGAGGAAGTCGGATGGTTCAGGTTCAGCTTCTGTTTCAGTATCTGAAGGACTTCCGTCGGGCACCTGAATACTTCTCACTGTATATTTCAGCCGTTGGCAATAGAGCACAGGTGATCCTTCTATTTTGCTCAGCACCAAAGTTTCCATACTCTCCTTAGACGACTCGGCCCTCGAAACTCCAAGAAAATTCTCAGAAGGCTTCATTTCGATGCAGTCAGGACTCCAGCCATCAACTAGGGAAACAGATTGAATAGAGATGTAAACATTCAGATTTATTCCTCAACTGGACTCATTAAACCATTCAAAATTCACATAAATTAACAATACAACAACCCCATAAGTTACTTAGGCCACAGTTAAAGGAGCTGTAAGCAGTTCGTCTGAGCATCCCCCTTGAGAGAGCAAAAGGCTCTCCTGAGAATTAACATTTGAACTCCCTCTTGCATACTGTATATAACAGCAACATCCGAGACACAGCACACAGTGCAGTTCACACCTTACTCTTACAGTCTCATCACATCCCCCTGCTCCCCCTCTTCTCCTCCTCACCCAGAACTCACTGAAAACCCATGCAATATTATGTGTGTACAAAAAGTAACTACACCTGTTTGGCCTCATTTTAAGAGTCTCAGTGCGCCTGGTAAAATGGTCTCATTCTCCCAACTAATGAAATGCTAAAAGAAGTTATAAAGTATGAGAAAAGTGATGTGTCCCTTAAAGGTGTTTCCTCCCCCAGATCCTCCATTCAAACTACCTCCTGTATGAAAAACAAGAACCCATTCAAGCTGTGAGCCCCTCTAGAGGGGACCAAAATCTAATTATAATGACAGACAAGACCATTTGGTAAAGAATATTGAATATGCACTGTCACTCCATGGACTGCGCTCCTCTCGGCGCCGGTAAACGCGTCCTACAGCTGAGCGGTCGGCATCACGCGTTCATGTCATAGACTGTAAAAAAAGATGGACGACGCCCCTTCGCTCTCTTCCATTGGTCAGAAGTGAAGCCGCCGGGATCCCGATATGGCGCTGACATCTTGGAACTTAAGTCTGTGCAGTAGCGATCTCGGGACCAGACATGCGCAGTAGTGAGCAGAAAGTAAAGCAGCGAAATAAAGGCCCCGCTCTCACTGTCGCAGAATCAATCACAAGCACACGCTCCTGCACTTTTTTAAAAATTAATTATAGAAGTTTAGATATTAAATTTAAAGCCCCAATCTCCTCAGTCCTCCGAAGATACCGAAAAAAAGTCTGTTGGTGCTTCAGTGACTACTTCGCTCGGAAAACCTGTCAATCATAGCTGTCAATCATGACGTCACCACCACCGGATCAACTAAAAACAAACTCTTGAAATTACATCAGCGTGATAAAAACTACAGTAAATCATAGAAACCGTCTTTGGAAAAAAGATATGTGAAGTGTAATTTAATTGTTTAGTTGGTCTCAGTTGTTCTCATCTTTAGTTGGTCTAATCTTTAGTTGGTGCCGTTGAATAACATGGGGAGGCGGGGTTTATGACCTATCCTAGGACCAGCCACCGGGGGGCGATCGAGATGTTTTGGCTTCACTTTTCAGGGCTTGTGCGGCACGTGGCTTTGGGAGGAGCCCAGAAGGGAGGGGGTGGGAGTTTCTCTGTGGGATACTTTCAAAATCCAGCAGTTTTGAGTTTTCTGCTAGTTTCTCAAACTAACCTGCCTTTAATCAAACATTCGTTAAATTTTTATGATACACAGATATCATTAAAACATACTCTGTTACCTAACGTAACCTCGGTTTTCTCTAGAGAGGGAACGAGTATTGCGTAAGTTTAGCTTACGCCACGGGTAAAGTTCATCTTTGCTCGAGATATTGAAGCCAAAATTATCCTTAATTTTGTATATATTGTCAACGCAGTGCAGCAGCTGCAGACCTAAAGCAGGCTATCTAGCGTGCTCATTGGCTGCCTTGCGGCAACTGCAGCAGCCTACCAGTGAGCCTGGCGTGACGTCACGCCCAATGGTGGCGCTTCGCGCCCACTACGCGTCACAGCCCATGCAAGGGGTTGTGGCTTAGCGTATAAAAGCGGGGCTCAGAGGCTGCTTCCCTGGTTTTCATGATCTGAAGCAAAAATCGCTTGTGGCGCCAGCCGGTTACACAATACTCGTTCCCTCTCTAGAGAGAACCGAGGTTACGTTAGGTAACCGAGTTAGACTGACAGAAGTCTAGCCTGCAAGGCGGGAACTTCCAGACTATAGAATCTCACAAATGTAGACGGGGAGGCCCAGCCCGCCGCCATACAGATGTTGTGAATGGAAATTCCACTGGACCATGCCCATGACGAGGCCATGCCTCTTGTGGAATGAGCCCTTATGCCCAGAGGGCATTGCAGACCTTTTGACGCGTAGGCAGCAGAAATCACGTCCACTATCCATCTGGATAGGAACTGTTTCGAGGCGGCGAGACCTTTGGTGCGCCTGCCAAACGAAGCGAAGAGCTGATCGGAGCGTCTGAAGGGGGTGGAGCGCGTAACATAAGCTCTCAGTGCCCTGACAGGGCAGAGGAGGCTGTCGCTGCTCACGCTGTCGGATGCTGGCAGAGCCGACAGAGAAATGACCTGCGCTCTGAAGGGAGTGCCAATCACCTTCGGGACATAGCCATGTCTCGGTTTGAGGATGACTTTAGAGTCATTCGAACCAAACTCAAGGCACACTGCGCTAACAGATAGCGCGTGTAAGTCCCCCACACGTTTAATTGATGACAGAGCCAAAAGAAAAACGGTTTTGAGCGAGAGGTATTTTAGATTCGTTGAATCTAATGGTTCTAAGGGATGCATCTTTAGGGCCTCTAGGACCACGGAGAGATCCCAAATAGGAACCGAACTCTTAAGAAGCGGATGACCAGTTCGTTCCTTCCTAGCGACCGGCCTTGCTTCGACTCAGCGAAGGCTGCAACGGCCGCCACGTATACTTTGAGCGTGGATGGGGACCTGCCCTTATCCAGCAGCTCTTGAAGGAAACCGAGCACCTGCGAAACCTCACCCTTTCTGGGGTCCAGATTTTTGTCGGTGCACCATTTGGAGAACACAGACCATTTAGACGCATATAGCCGTCTCGTAGAGGGGGCTCTAGATTGCGTGATCGTGTTTATAACTCCTTCTGGCAGGATAACGGGTATCCGTTGATCAACCACACGTGCAGAGACCAGCGCTCTGGGTGGGGATGCCAGATCGAGCCGCGGGCTTGAGAGAGGAGGTCCCTCCTCACCGGAATCGGCCACGGGGCTGTGTGTGACAGCCGTGTTAGTTCCGGGAACCAGGTTTGGTTCTCCCATCGCGGGGCTATGAGGAGCACCGGGCTGTGCGATTCCCTGATTCTCTTGATTACCTGTGGTAACATAGAGATTGGAGGAAAGGCATTTAGCGGGCGGCTGGGCCAGAGTTGGGCCAGCGCATCCTCGTTCTTTGAAAAGAACACTGGGCAATGAGCGTTGTCCTTTGACGCGAATAGGTCGACTTCTGCTCTGCCAAAGAGGCACCATAACAGCTGGACTGTTTGGGGGTGTAAAGACCACTCCCCGGGGAATGATCCCGGGCACGTGCGTCGCTCTCAGCGAGCGCAGGAAGCACTGGGCCCAAACGAGGAGGTGTTCTGCCAGATCGCAGAGGCTCCTGGATCTGACACCGCCCTGGCGGTTCACGTAGGACACAACCGACATGTTGTCCGAGCGGACTAGAACGTGTTGGTTCTGTATGAATGGGAGGAAGCACTTCATCGCGTTCTCGACCGCCAGCATCTCCAGACAGTTTATGTGAAGGCGTTTCTCTTGGTCTGGCCACAGGCCAAAGACCGGTCTGCCCTCGAAAAGGCCACCCCAACCAGAGTTGGAGGCGTCTGTCGAGATAATTTTCCGGTGGGAAATCGCTCCCATTGTCACCCCCTGCTGGTACCAATTGGCCACTAACCAGGGCTACAGAGCTGAAATGCAGCTCTGAGATATCCTGATCCGCTTGTAGCCGCGCGTCCACCCCTGACGGGGTACGCGTGCATTCAACCAGCGTTGTAGCGGGTGCATGTGCAGTAAGCCCAGCTGAAGCACTGCTGCAGCTGAGGCCATACAGCCCAGCATCCTCTGAATTTTTTTCAGGGAGGCGGTTCTGCCCTTCTGGAAAGATGCGGCTAGGTGTCGAACACGGCGCGCGCGCTCTGTCGACAGCTGAGCCTTCATAGCCACGGATTCCAGTTCCATACCTAAAAAGGAGATTGACTGGCTGGGCCGTAATGAGCTCTTGGTCCAGTTGACCGTGAGACCCAATCTTTCCAAGTGACTGAGTAGCATAGTTCTGTGAGATACGAGCTCTATCTCTGACTGTGCTAGAATCAGCCAATCGTCCAAGTAGTTCAGAATTCGCACACCCTGACATCTGAGGGGGGCGAGCGCCGCGTCCATGCACTTCGTAATGTACGGGGTGCCAGGGACAGGCCGAACGGGAGGACGGTGTACTGATATACCCGGCCATCGAAGGCGAATCTCAAGAATGGCCTGTGATGGGGTTTAATCTGTATCTGAAAATACGCGTCTTTCAGATTAAGAGATATAAATCAGTCCCTCGGGCGAATTTGCGCGAGAATCTGCCTGGTTGTAATCATTTTGAACGGTCTCCTCATGAGAGCTTTGTTCAAAAATCTCAGATCTAATATAGGCCTCAGTCCTTCTTTGGTATGAGAAAATAACGGCTGTAAAAGCCTGACTCGCTCAGAGAAGGCGGCACCGGTTCTATGGCTCCTTTGCACAGCAGTTTGGCTATTTCTGCGTGGAGTAGATGTGCTACTTTCGCGTTCACTGTCGACTCGGTCCGAGCGTGAAAACGCGGGGGACGGCGAGAAAACTGTAGTGCATAGCCCTGTCTTATTGTGCTTAGCACCCACTTTGAAACCCCTGGAATGGCTTCCCATGCTTGTGCATGTGTGGCTAGGGCGAGAATTGCCTCCGGGTTCCGGTCGCCGCACACTGTGGGCTTTGGGAACTGAACGGAGACGTGGGCGCGGTGCTTGAACAAAGCGGCTCTCTGACAGCCGCTTGGGCTGGTTCGCACATAACGACCCGATTACTTTGAATGGGGAGCGTTTTACAATGGCTTTCTGAAGCGCGAGCGGGGCTTGAAGCGGAGCGACTGATAGTGAGCGCGAGCTGACAGCAACAGCTGGCTGTTTTAAATGAGACGACCCGGTTACTGTGAACGGGTAGAGTTTTGTGAA